CGGTTACCAATACAAAATCGAGTGCTTTTCTTCCAAAGATGAGGACACAATAAAGTGTATGGTTTTTCCATTCTTTGTGACCAGAAGTCCTTTCTTCCACCTTTACAGCACAGTAAGTGTTAAGAAATACCTACATGGATAAGTATGGAATTTCTTTAATCTGGAAGTGCAGTGAAACTTCTGACAACAGACTACTTTCTCCTCTGAATTACTGCCATGGGCCCCAACCTGAAGCCTAAACTTTCAGTTTCTTTGTTGACAACTTTAATGTGACAGGGATAGTGACAGTGATTCTTTTCAAAAAGAGCTTCTTCTATCACTAATTCTACTTTTTGGTATTCTTATTTGTTCATCATTCCCACTCCTTGCTTTGTAACTATGCTTCAGAAAAACTTTGTTATATTTGTATTCGCTCCTGGCATATGAAGAAAGTGAACCTCCATGAATTCATCCTTATAAAGCCACCATTGCCTTAGACCTTTCCCTTTGAAACCACAAATGACCAGGCTAGGCTCTGTTGGTTCTCTTGTGATTATTGTTGCTAGGGATGACTGGAGCATTTTAAAGTTCTGGATATTCAAGGTGAGTTGTTCATCTCTTCTATCAATACTGAGTTACTGACAGACATATTCACGTGTATGAACACAACCACAGGGTGTCACTTAATACATTGCTTTTCAGTTCAGGCCTTGCTCTGCGCCTCTAGTACTGCACGTGAGCAGAAGTGGAGTTGGTTCAATTCTTATTTTTGCAGAAAATACTTTTTCAGTATAAAATTTGCTAGTATGATGAGTAGACTTACTGTCCTACACCTGTTCTCTTTATACTGTATGAGTTGCGGAGAAGAAAGAAGGTCAGATATCCACTTTGGGGTGCTGGTTGATCTCAGTGGCAACTCAGTATCGTTCATGTTTACAAGCAACATAAGAGAATGAACTTGGAAAATGACAGCACACTTCTAGCCCATTGGTCATCAATCTCACACTCTAGCAAGTATCTAGGGAGCAGAAGGGTCAAGGCATTTCTGGGTGTTTAGAAAGTAAGCCCTCTTTGTCCCCAAAGACAGTCAGCACTGCACTATCTTTGGCTTTCTCTTTTGAAAATAATTATGTCTTAGTTATGTATGAATAGCTGATATATGAACTATTGCTGATACGTTTATATCAGTCCATACGTCAATAAAGAAGCAGTAGATAAGAATGACCTTGGGATTTTGATAAAGGTGAATCCTAAAGCATCCTGGAAGCGTGCTGGGTAGCAAGTGACTTTTTCCAAATATAGTAGGCAAGAAATAGGAGTGGTAGAGAAGTACCTGGGCAGTTCTCTCTCCTAGAAATTTTTAACTCCAGCAGAACGGATCTGCCTCTTTTCAAGAGGAAAATGTTGACATATCTTGCTGTTTGAAAAATGTCATATTTTCTAGTGATGCTTCAATTTCAACATGTGAAGAAATGAAATTACTTTACATGGATTATAAGTCTCCATATTAAGTAAATTGCATTGTCTTCTGTGAAGTTTGCTTCACAGGAGCTTTTGGGAGCTTCTGATGTTTTATATGGTTTATAATAACCTTCTCCTTTAGAGAATGCACAGATGTCATGTGAGAAGGGAACAAATGCTCAGCAGCAGGCCCAGGAATGGCTTTTTGTAGTTGGATGCCTACTACTTGCAATTTTCTCTGGTTTTGCAGTGTTTTGTTGTTTGGTTTTTTTGACACTGGGAGAAATGGACTGAGAATAAACCCAGATCGCAACTTTTGCTAGTGAGAAATCTTATTTTAAGACTTCATATCCAAGATTTGAAAACCTCTTTTTCACAGGTTTAAGGACATTTACAATTTACATTGTCATCTCCCTCAGTGCCCCCACAGACCATCCCTGCCCAGGGCCCAGGCCCCCACGTCAGGGCCGTCAGCCCCTGCCCCATCGATGCCGCAGCAGGGCCGGTCTCCAGCCCCCCACAGCCCTGCCCTGCCCGGCCATCGGCCCCGCTGAGTTGGGCCCACCCGTGGGCCTATGTCCCAGCCTGGCCTCGGCCCGACCCTGTCCCCAGGGAGGTGCCCAATGCCCGGGGCTGGGCTGCTCCGGTGCCCCCGGCTGCCCTGCCCCTGGCTGGGCGTGGGACAGGCCCTGCTGCCAGGCCCCTCCCTGACCCACCATGGGGAGCCCCCACTGCTCCCAGCCCCCAGAGATGGTTTGTATCGAGAAATGATTTGTACTACTCCATATTATTTAGAACTAGAAAGAAATACCTCTAGAAGAAAAGATTTTCATGCACTCTCTGGATTCCCAAGCAGCAGTGGACTGTACAACAGAAAGGAAAATGTAACCAGTTAACTGCGTGTTTATGTTATATGAAATCATGAGTTGTGCAATTACGTGAATTTGGTAAGAATCAGGAGGGAAGTGATGAACATTGCATCTTGCAACACTTCCGATGGTATGAAAGTTCCCTAAAACACAAGCGGCAAGGGAGACAGCCCTATTTAGAGCTATACAACCATTTAAAATACGAATCTTTCCACCTTCTCTGAGCCTGAAGACAATGATAGAAAGAGAAACGAGATAAAGACATTTTGGAATAGAAGGTAGGTCCATCTTTGTCTTTCCGACTATTTTGTTTGTTGAGGTATTCACTGAGAGTCTGGGAAGTCCAGGGCCGGAGGGGTAAAACCTAAAAAGCTGTCAGAGGAATACAGGGAGCTAAATTGAACGAAGTTTTTTTGAAAAAAAAGTACAGTAGGTACTTAGTAGCCTGCTAAGAAAAGTCCTAGCCATAATTTTGATTTTCTTACTGGGTTTGGTACTGAATTTGTAGGAGTTAGACATGGCTCCTAGATCCACTTTTAAGCATATTCTCAAAAACAGCCTTGAAAGTACATGAACTAATTTCCTCACTGAAGGTACCGTATTCACCAGTGGGTGGCTCGAGCTGATTGATATTGCTGTGACCCATTTTGATATTTTCTGTTTGCAGCTGTTTACCCACCTGCTCAACGTTTATTCATCCTAACCTTTGTATATAGCAGATAGATAAGTAATCTTTGGACCTTAAGATAGCAGTCATCAAGTGTATGTATGTAACGTTTATACAGTGCTCCTGAGATCACCAGCTTTACAAATTATAAAACAAATTGTTGTTCCAGAAAAGGACAAATTATTTAACTTTGTTACTGTTTATCTGAACATTTCTCTGACTTCTTCAGAAATCTGTCTAATCTTTCTTCCCACCAGAACTGAGAGATTGTCAGATGGTGTAGAAGCAGGCATATGAACACGTCAGACTAAAATTCAGAGGAGAGTGGTTCACACTGGCATCTTTCACCTTGAGCAAGTTTCATTGTTCTCTGTCTCCAAGGAGCGAGAAATGGTTGCTCTTCTTGCACTCATCTTCATGACCCAGTGGATGCTGCTGATCACCCAGTTGTGTGTTGGCCAGCACTGCACAGGCTGTGAGTAGAACACTTCCATGGGGCAATCCTCCCAGGTGGAGTGTAACATGCTTCTCATTGTGGGTAGTTGTGCTTAAGTTGCCTTCTTAGATGTGCCGGGTAGTTACTTCTGCACCCAAAAATCTGGGAATCAGTTCTGCACCTTATTGATCCTATTGTGTGACATTTGCAGCGGAGATGGCAGACTCACCAATTAGAAATTTGATGTTGAATCAGTGGAAAATGGAACTGAGTTGTATGAGCAGCATGAATTTCACTGAGGACTAGTGTTCAGTGATTGCAGGAGATTTTACCAAGACTATAATGGTAAATTTGCTATGTAAAGTTTTAATGGAGATAAATCATTACACTTTCTTCTTTTTCTTTCATACCGTTAAGAAATTGAAAAAAGCATCCTTGATAAGAACAAGATAGTATCTCTTTTAGCAGCCTTTTCCAGTTTTTGTTGAGACCTGTCTTTGTACTGAGGCATATCTGTCCTCTCTGGGCATTCTTGTGAAATTCTTGCCTTCAGAGGACTCTTATGGAATCAGGGCCTTGACGGGACTGAAGTGTAAGATTGTCTCGTTTCCTGGTTTGAGAGGCACTTTGCTCTGCAGATGAGAATTTTTAAGTACAAAGGACAGACTGAATTAAATACATTTAGACTTATCAGACTTAGCTAAAACCAAGACATAAGTATTCAGGGACATTGGAGATGCAGTGCTGTGCTTGCTCAGGGCTGACTGATGTGACACACAAGCCTGTGAAGGCACAATATTTCTGGAGAGTCTCCAGAGGGTCAAGAAGGCTCATCAGTCATAGAATGGTTTGGGTTGGAATGGATATTGAAAGATCATCTAGTCCAATATCCCTGCTATATGCAGGGACATCTTTCACTAGATCACATTGCTCCAAGACCCATCCAGGCTGACCTTGAACAATTCCAATGACAGGGCATCCACAACTTCTCTGGGAAACCTGTTCCAGCGTCCCACCACCCTCATTGTAAAACATTTCTGCCTTATGTCCAATCTAAATCTACCCTCTTTCAGTTTAAAACCATTGCCCCTTGTTCTGTCACTACAGGCCCTGGTAAAAAGTCTCTCTATGTCTTTTTTATAAACCTCTTCATGTATTGAAAGGCCACAATAAAGTCTCCTCAGAGCCTGCTCTTCTCCAGGATGAACAACCTCAACTCCCTCAGCCTTTCTTCACAGGAGAGGTGCTCCAGCCCTCGGATCGTCTTTGTGGCCCTCCTCTGGACCCGCTCCAACAGGTCCATGTCTTTCTTGTGCTGGGGACCCCAGAGCTGGATGCAGTGCTCCAAGTGGGGTCTCACCAGAGGAGAGTAGAGGGGGAGAATCACCTCCCTCTACTTGCTGGTCACACTGCTTTTGATGCAGGCCACGATGTGATTGGCTTTCTGGGCTGCGAGCACACATTGCTGGCTCATGTCCAGTTTTTCATCTACCAGTACCCCCAAGTCCTTCTCTGCAGGGCTGCTCTCAGTCCATTCATCATCCAGTCTGTGTTGATCCTGGGGGTTGCTCTGATGCTGGACCTCACACTTGGCCTTGTTGAACTTCATGAGGTTCACAATGGGCCCACTCCTCAAGGCTGTCAAGGTCCCTCTAGACGGCATCCCTTTCCTCTAGTGAATCAACTGCATCACTCAGATTGGTGTCATCTGTAAACTTGCTGAGTGTGCACTCAATCCCACTCTCTATGCATTAATGAAGGTATTAAATCATATTTGTCCTGGTATGGACCCTTGAGGGACACCACTCGTTACTGGTTTCCACTTGGACATTGAGCCATTGACTACTGTAAGTTCTTTGGATGTGTCCACCCAGCCAATTCCTTATCATCTAACAGTCCTTCTGTCAAACCCATATCTCTCAAAATTAGAGGCAAGAATGTTGTGAGGGACCATGCCAAAGACTTTCCAGAAATCCAGGTAGATGACACTTGTTGCTCTTCCCTTACTGACTGATGCAGTCACTCTACTGTAGAGGAGCACTAGATTACTCAGGCATGATTTGCCCTTCGTGACACCATGTTGGCTGTCTCTAATCACCTCCCTGCTTTTTATATGCTCCAATGTAACTTCTAGGGAGATTTGTTGCATGACTTTGCCAGGCATGGAGATGAGGCTGACTTGTTGGTAGTTCCCGGGATGCTCCTTATGACCCTTTTTAAAAATGAGTGTGATATTCACTTTTCTGCAGCCACTGGACACTTCACCTGGCTGCCATGACTGTTTAATTATGACGGAAAGTGGCTTGGTGACTACATCAGCCAATTCCCCCAGGACCCTAGGATGCATCTCTCTGGGTCCTATGCACTTATGTATGCTCAGGTTCTTCAAGTAGTCTCAAATCTGATCCTTACTTATGATGGGAGGACTTTGTTACTCCAGTCCCTGTCTTGAGATTCAGGGACTTGAGAGATGTGGGAAGAGTGATTGCCAGTGAACACTGAGGCAAAACTTTGCTGAGTACCTCAGCCTTCTCTATGTCAGTTGTCACTACTTCTCCTGTCTTATTTATCAGGGGTGGTACACTTTCTTTAATCGTTCTTTTCTGATCGATGTACCTGTAGAAGCCCTTATTATTATTTTTCACATTCCTTGCCAAATTCAGCTCCAGATCAGCTCCAAACTTCAGCTCCAATTCAGCTCCAAGTTTTTGGTAGCAGACAGGAGATCTAGAACTCAGATCTTGTGTAAATGGATTAATTGAGAAGTGTCATGACTTCATGAAAAGGCAACTTCTGCTTCTGATTTAGTCTGTTTTCAGTGCTTATGCAGAGAAGACAGCAAGCTAAGCATTTCCTATTTTGCAGCTACTATGTTTGCTAAGCAAACCAGTTTTGTCTTTTACTGGCCTCTACAAGCTGCACAGATACTTCAAAGCAAGTCATGAAGTTGTCCTCTTGGGAGTATTCTTTTCCCTGTACGTGTATTATTCCTGCCTCAGCTAAGATCTCTTCCTCTAGAGCCCAAATCTTTCTCCATCCATTTCCCCAGTATTTCTTGTGCTTCTGGTTGGGTAGGTGATCTCCTAAATAAAGTTGTTTCAGGAACAGAAACTGTAACAGGAAGGTATTGGTTTTGACAGTCTATTTTGCATTAATAGAAAGGGAGCATTTTACGTTAAACTACTGCATCAAGCAAGATGTATACCATATCTATGCTAAAAATTAATGCTTCTATAGGTAGTTTCTAGAAAATTCTGACATCTGGGGACTCCTCTGATACTCCATGCAGTTATATCACCTGTATCAGTAATCACAGATTTGCGTAGATTCGTGTAAACCTCATTTCAACTGACTATGGAAATTATAGTCCTCCCAGCTCTGACAGGAGCTACTAGAGAGGTACAGCCCCTGCCTGAAAGCAGTGTATCCCATGCATCTTATATGCTGCTGTCTGTGTCTTCCTTCACCACTGCATAGACAAGGCACCTATGTGACTTGCCCAAATTAGGTGCTAGTTTTTAGAAAGCTAATGTTAGTGGAGATGAAACTCAAGCTAGCTCTTTGCCCAGGCACTCATTTGTGACACATCTCCCTTTGTCTTTCAAAGGAGCATAAAGCACATTACAGCCATCTGTCGATTCTTATGAAAGCACATATGCTCTTATTTTGAGGCTTTTCAACTGATTTGGTGGACTATTGTGGACTATGGGTAGAAGGAGGGGAGGAACTGCTATTCCTAACACTGCCATGAGCTTTTTTTTGGACAGAAGCACTGAACTCTTCACCTTGCACTGGTAAAGGTTCATTACCCCAAACTTCTGGGAAGAGAGGTCTTAAGTCTGGGAAGACATCAGTACCTACTTCACTACTGTAGTGGTCCCACTGTTATAAATCAAGCACAAGCTTAAGCCCTTTCTACAGGGAGTAGCACTGTGTAAACCAATAGATGAAAAACTAAAAAGTAACTTTCTGCATGACATTTTTCAGACAAAGAATATGAAGTGCATGTTTGGAAATACAGCACCTCCTCTGCACAATGGGGCAAGCTTTTCTGTTACAGCAGTGAACACGAATGGCACGTACTCGAGCATATGGAGATGTATTTCTCTAAGTAATATGCTAGACTTTGGGAAAGGATTTGCCTACTTTCAGTGGCCTGGGAGTAAAAGAAAAACTGAAACCCTTCATTCCTTAATTAATTTGTTTCCTGTAGGATGAAAAGGTTCTTGTTCACAGCCTTATGACGGTGTTTGTATGAAAAGAAAAGGTTTTTCCTACAACTAGCTCAGCAATTTTTTAGTCCTCATTTGCCACATTGCTTGGTGCCACGTTTTTAACTGCCAATTCTCTCTTAATTATTTGTGCTAATATTTTATTGACTGCATTTAAATGTCTTTTAAAAGTTATTAAAAATCCAAGTGAAACAGGTTTGTGGCTATAGTTTTAAAATTCTTACCTGAGAAATCTGTGACACTGAATTTTATCATGTTGTAACTCATGGTGTAATGCCCAACACTTCGCAGCATCCAATCCACAATAATGAAAGGTCTGACAGACCTTCATTGTATGAGAGGGGTAATATATATGAGACTGTTAAGAGAATGAGGTACGAGATCTGTTCATTTGAGCAACATGGAGTTGGCATACACAAAACGGCACTACTTCCTGCCTCATCAAGCTCAAAGTATTTTCTGATTCTATGTAAAAGGATAGACAAGTAATCCTTCCTTTTAAAAGGTATGTTTAGTGTCCTTATTGGGTTTTGTTGGGTGTGGGGGTTAAGGAATAAATTGATATGTTTGTGATCAGGAGAAGATTCCTCATGTTAATCTTGGGTATCGCTGCAGAGCACAAACGCCTCACAAGTTTGCATCTACACCTCCTTGAAGTCTTGAAAAACTTCGCAGCTCTGCATTTGGATCTCTCTTCCTCATTGGAGTCCACAGGGAAGCTCCTCATGCTTTCCACTCATTGGACAGGGCGCTGAAGAACATCCTTCAAATAGAAATGCTACACCAGGGTACTGAAGGATGACAGGCAAATGTTTCAGTTTGTGGCATCGTGAGATCAGTGTCTCCTTTTGAACAGGAACACTTCAAAGCACAGGGGTAGCCACTTCAGGTGTCAGAGTGTACCAGAGAATTGTAGGCTCCTCTGAGACTTATTCTATCAGATTGAGCTATAATGATATCTTCAGAGGCTTTACCCATGACAAATTCTTCATTGAATCTGTCAGTGCAACTATGTTTGGCGTTACAGCATTACTACCCAAAATGAAGCAGGTCATTCCTAACCCAAGCAATAACCAGTTGGAGTTGCAGGTGTCTGATGTTTCTAAGTGCATGCCAAGATCCTCCAGCTTGGAGCAGTCATTCAATTTTTCCTCATCACAGTCATTCCTGTGTTTGCAGGCATCAATGGGTCGGCCATTGAAAACTTCTCCTGTGTGATTTACAACATATCCCTCATGAACTGCACCTGGAAAGCAGGCAGGGGTGCTCCAGGAGATACCCAATATTTTCTCTACTGGCAGAACTTGATGTAAGTAGGTCTGCTTGAGTCTAGGGAAGTCTGAATTCTCATTTGTGTACGTTTAACTAAAATACCTTGCTGTATACAGAGGCGACAATGAGATGGAATGTGAGCTTTACATGAAAGATGAAAATGGCAGAAACACGGGGTGCAGATTCAAAAATGTGAGGATAGTGTTTAACGAAGCTTGCTTCCTGGTGAATGGCTCTAGCAAAGATTCCCCGATTCAGTTCTATCATGAGAAAATTGAACTGTTTAAAATTGGTAAGTAAATAATTTCTTTCTGCTTTATTTTCATTATTGCATGAGGGTAGTAGAGCATTTATCCCTGAGAAGGAACCAGGTACACTGTCTCACTTAAAGTCTAAAGCAAGAGACTGTGGCCTCTTCAGGAGAACCTATTCCCCAAGCAAAAAAGCAATGAGGGAAATTAAGCAAGAAAGCTCCACAGCTGCAACCTGCCTCAGATTCTTTAGCAATCTACCCTTATTGTTTTTAGGTCTTTCTCCAGCAAGGTCCATGGAACTTAGACATTGTACTTCCCCCTGCTGTCCTTCCAATAATGGCCAAAGATTTTTCAACAGAGAAGACTTTTCAGAAGTTTATCAGAGCACTGATTTCTCCTTCTCACTGCCAGGGGGGATGGCATATACTGACAAAATACATTTATTAAAGAAATTAATGTGTACAAAATGCCCCAGGTTTTCATATGCTCTTTCACAGGTGATGCTCTACTTGGAAGCATCCTGTGAAATTACTTTTATTGTGGCAAAGTCTTTTTGGCAAAGTCCCACTGTTTTTAGTATTGCCTCCAAAAAAACCCCAGATAAACTAAGCCTCATTCTATAAGGAGAAGGAATTGAGCTGTAATATCACTTATGGCAGATGAAACAAGACTGTTCTTTGACTAAGCAGCCCATCACAAATGGGCCAGGCCCATCTCTAAATATTGATGCCTTTTGTCACCCTTTCTGTCATGAGCGGCTGTCTTTTGCTGTTACAGTAATCAAGGCCTTGGTGATGATCAAAATATAAAGGTCCTTGTATTTTTGCTCACATCTGTGAATTTAGGGGAAGAAGTGAAGAAGTTGGATAGATTATTAAAACTGAAGTGTCATTCTTAAATTTGTATGGCTAATTTTTTGGAAGGGGGGAATAAACTGCATAGCTCACAACACCAAGCAAGAAACACCTTCATGTTACAGAAGCATCATGTGAGGAGGCTTGAAGAAATAAATGACCTTTTGATTTCTTACATTAGAGTTAACATCAGCTTGTTCTTCTGCTGTAAAAAACATGCTTATAAGAAGAAGACAGCACTCTACCTTATTAATCTGGAAAAGTAAATGGAGTGTCTTTGTACCTTTGTATGCTCCTAAATCATGTTCTCTGGCTTAGTCCCTATATTTTCTGATCCTGGGGACAGAATTTAAATAACTTTGGTTTTTCAATTATTTCTAACAGAGTTCCTAAGAAAAATAGATGTGTTTGTTACTTGCAATTGCACTCTCTTTTATCAAAGCAAAAAGAGACCAAGTGATTTTAATTATTTGAATTCTTGATTATATCATTTCAGAAAAGCTCATGCCTCCAACAAATATCACTGTCAACTGTAATGAAACTGAAAATGATTGCATAATTCAATGGCAACGACCCCTAATAAGTCATTCTAACAAAGACAAGTGTTTTAAATATGAAGTCAACATATATTATAAGGTAAGAGGAATTTCTTCACCTACATTTAACATTAATATATGTTTACATTTACCAATAAACATGGATAGAAAGAAAATAAATCTCTCTAGTATGGTGTAGCCTTCCTCATACATAGCACTATATTCCTTTGCTATGCCATACAGCCCCAGTTTTTTATCCCTGTTCCCCTGTATGAGATATTGCTGGAGATAGATACGCTGGTTGACTGTGACTGTGTGGGACTAAGAGGAGAAACACGGTTAATCAAGGCTCGAACATATCACAGCTTTGGCTGTGACAAAACTCAGAAGAAACACTTCTTTCACTCATGCCTGTTGGAGCTGTCTTGGATTGGAGTCTTTCCAGTGGTGACTGCATTTCTGTGAAAGAGGAGAGTTTAGCTGTAAAAACTGGACAGAGAAGCGTGCATCTGCTTAACAAGTATGAGTTGATGGAGCTGAATGAAATTTCTATGTATGTGAAATGCAAACAGCTTATCCAGGTATTATATATAAGCAACACACCTGTTGGCCCAAGAGTTGAAGCTGTATAATGTTAAATAAAAGGAAAATAAATGTGAGACAAAGCAGAAAGACAGTGTGAATAAGCACAGGTTGCTGAGGGAATCACTTAAGCTACGGAAAGTCCAATTCAGACCTTGGCTTTATGAGTCTTTTTGGAGCAATAGGGAAGGAGTGAGACTGCTGTGGTCTGCTGCAAGAGTAGACCTAAACTACTGTTAACTGTGGTAGAATTGCATCAAATGACCACAGGGTGGCAGATAGTGACTATAAAGGAAAAACCCGCCTGAACTGAAACCAGATTTGGCTACTTAGTGGCTGACTGAGGGCATCTCCTAGATTTCTGTTATTTGGAACGTCTTAGTCTGGATCGGGCTTGCTATTTCATAGTTGAGTTTTCTTGCAAGCCCAACTAACTGCTACAAAACTGCATTACTTCTCAGATCCCTTGGCGCTTGCAGCAAAGAAAGTTTATAGAAAACTCTATGTGATATTGGAATAAAAGTGCATTGCAGTAAAGCAACACATACTTCTTAAGGTCTTTTAATATGCCTAATATTCAGTTTATAATATTCAATTCACATGTATTTTGAAATGCCTAGCATTTTTTAAATAATCATGAACAGCTTTCATGTTACTAATTATGTCAGGGTCCAGCAATTACTTTATTGCAAAATGTATTGCTTTACAACTGCCAGGTATAAACTTGTCTTGTTTTACTAATACATTATGACAAACATATATTGTATTACAGTTAGCCTTTAAATTTTATTTTCACAATTGGAAATTACTTGTACTGGCAGCAAACAAAAAGAAAAAAAGGATAACACCATGAGTAACATAATTTCAACCATATTTTTTCATGTCTGACACTGATAATCTGAATTTGCTGAGAATCTTGGATTCTTCAGCAATATTTTAAGTTAAGGCTTTGTAGATCAGCATATCTGGGAAACCTGAAGGCAAACCTTACTAGTGAAAACTGAGCTAAAATGGCACCAAATACCTCAGCCTTTCCCATGTCCCTTGTCACTAGGTTCCCCCAACTCAGTGAACAACAGGCCCACATTCTCCTTAACCTCCCTTTTGCTGCCAGTGCACTCATAAAAGCCCTTTTTGTGTTCATCTTCCTCACTAGTCTCAACTCCAGCTGAGCTTTGGCTTTCCTGACTCCATTCCCTCATGTGCAGATGATGTCTTTGTATTCCTCCCAAAATCCTTCTTCTACCTTCTGCATACTTCCTTTATGTCTCTGAGCTCAGACACAAGCTTCATGTCCCACCATGCTCACTTGGCACACTTGCTTGATTTTCTGTACAGCAGAATGGACAATTCTTGTGTTCTGAAGAGGCTGTCCAACTTTGTCAATTTCCAGGGCAATTTCCTTTGACTACCAAGGCCTGTGGCTGTGAGGCTTTCTCAAGCTTCCTGAAGAGGGTCTCATCTGCTTCCTTTTCTTGATCAGGAGATCTGGAACAAACACCTAGTACATTGTCACCTGTGTTGGTCAGTCCTCTGATGCCTACTCACAAAATCTCTTAGTGGTTCATCATTTGTCCCAAAACAGAGCTCTATATAATCACAGCACTCTTTTACATAGGGCACAAGGACCAGGTTAGCAAGCCTGTTTGCAAAGACACTCTCACCCAACTCTGTGAGATGAATCACATGCCTGCTCAGTAGCCCCCATTTCTCAAAAAGAGTCCCAAGGTCGTAGAAGCCAAAGCCCTGCCTGTGACACCAGTCACTCAGACAGGTGTTGTCCTGCTGGATGAGTTCAATTATGCTCAAGCCTTTCCCTCTCACTGGAAGGACTGAGGAGATACCTTCTGGGCTTCCTGTCCTTCACCATCCCCTCCATGTTCTGCAATCACCCTTGAAACCATCCAGGTTACCTCTTGGCCATATCATTGGTTCCCACACAGAAGAGCAGGAAGGGGTAATAGTTCAATGGCCAGACAAGTCTGGCAGTCCTTCTGCACCCTCCTGGATCCCACTCCCTGGCAACCTCCATCAGGTCAGGTCAGTAGATGCCATCCTCTGCAGGAAACAGTCTCTTTTAATGATCATACACATTTTCTCCTTAATTTTTTTAAACATAGAGCCCTTTAATACATTTCTTCTTCCAAAATTTGCAAAAGACCAGCCATCCTTCTGGAACTCCATTTTCTGAAGCCTTCCATGACCTCATTGTTTTCATTTCTCATATATTATTTTAGTATAAACTTTAAAAAAGGGAGACTATATTGTTGCACTTTATCCTAGATTGATCCCTGTGCTTAAGCTAGCTTGTTTGCAGACTCTAGAAGCTGTCCTGTACAGCAGCATGCCTTGCAAATTCATGTTCAGGTGCCACATGAGCATGCACGCACCTATTTGATAAAACATGCTTGCATGGCTCTCGAAGGTAGGGGAGTCCAGGAGAGCTGGCTGCTGTTTAAGCAGCTCTTCCTCCGTGCTCAGGACCGGTGCATCCCTGTGAGTAGGAAATCAAGTAAACGAGGTAAGAGGCCTGCATGGATGAACAAGGAGCTTCTAGTGAAACTCAAAGAAAAGAGTAAGCTCCATGGAATGTGGAAAGAGGGTCAGGCCACTTGGGAGGCATATGGGAATGCTGCCAGAGCATGTAGGGAAGCAACTAGAAAGGCCAAGGTTCACCTTGAACTAAGTCTGGCAAAGGACATCAAGGATAACAAGAAGGGCTTCCTCAAGTATGTCAGCAGTAAATGTAAGACTTGGGGTAACGTGGGACCGCTGCTGAATGAAATGGGTGCCCTGGTGACAGAAGATACAGAGAAGGCGGAGCTACTGAATGCCTTCTTTGCTTCAGTCTTCACTGTCGAGGCTGGCCCTCAGGCTCCCCAGTCCTGGCAGGTAAGCGAGCAAGCTTGGAGAAAGGACGACCTTCCCTCTGTAGATGTGGGTCAGGTTAGGGATCTTTTAAGGAAGCTGGACACCCACAAGTCCATGGACCCCGATGGAATGTGCCTGCGAGTGCTGAAGGAACTGGCAGGTGACATTGCTGAGCCACTCTCCATCATCTACGAAAGGTCGTGGAGAACAGGAGAGGTGCCTGATGACTGGAAGATAGCCAATGTCACTCCAGTCTTCAAAAAGGGCAAGAAGGAGGACCCAGGGAACTACACGCTGGTTAGTCTCACCTCTGTCCCTGGAAAGGTGATGGAACAACTCATTCTAAGTGACCTCTCCAAGCAAGTGGACGACAAAAAGATCATCAGGAGTACCCAGCACGGATTCACCAAGGGGAAATCATGCCTGACCAATCTGATAGCCTTCTATGATGGCATGACCGGCTGGGTAGACAAAGGGAGAGCGGTGGATGTTGTCTACCTTGACTTCAGCAAGGCTTTTGACACTGTTTCCCATAACACCCTCATTGGGAAGCTCAAGAAGTATGGGTTGGATGAGTGGACAGTGAGGTGGATTCGGAACTGGCTGAATGACAGGGCCCAGAGAGTTCTGATCGGCGGGGCAGAGTCCAGTTGGAGGCCGGTAGCTAGCGGAGTTCCCCAGGGCTCGGTACTCGGCCCGGTCTTGTTCAACTTGTTCATCAATGACCTGGACGAGGGGATAGAGTGTACC